TTGGACCCACCTTTTCATGGAAAACGATCAACATTTCTTCAAGGAAGGCACACATACTCCACCTCGATTGGTTGTACCCGGCAACATAGTCCTCCCTATAATGGACGACCTGCACCATGAGCTCGGTCAGGAGGGTCATATGAAAACAGAGGCTGCAGTGGGACAGCGTTTCTGGCGGCCGCATCTCAGAGAACAGGTTTCTATTTTTTGCAATACCTGCCCCACATGTGCCACGTTTAATGGACTTAACCCCAGACGCCGTGCGCCCCTCCCATCTACGGCCACAGAGTTTCCATCCGAACGTGTGGGCATTGACGTGATCGGACCCCTACCCACCACCTTAACTGGTAATCGCGATATCTCAATGAGGGTTGATTACTTCACTAAATGGACAGATGCTGTCCCCCTTCCACGACAGAACGCAGCATCAGTTACTACCGCGTTACTCAACACTTGGATTTGCCGCTTTGGAGTCCCCGTCTCCTTACACTCTGATTGTGGAGCAAATTTCGAGAGCAGGTTAGTGCGCGACTTTTGCGACCTACTTCGGATTCATAAAAACCACACTACACTGGTACACCCCGAAGGGAATGGCCAGGTGGAACGCACAATTCGGACCATTATCAACTTGTTGAAAACCTTTGGGGAAGACCCCGACCCACATAACTGTGACGTTCGGCTGCAATACGTCATGATGGCATATAAATGCACGGTTGATACCTCGACTGGTCACACCTCCTCCTTCATGTTTACCGACCGCCATTTCCACTTACCCTCGGACTCCCATCTCCCGCTTCCAACCTATGACGACTATCAGCCGGATACTTATATCCTAGAGCTTCAAGACCAATAAAGGAAGTTCACGCCCTGACTGCGAAAATTATAATCCCGTCAGCCTTACTTGCATTGCATGTAAAATAATAAAGCGCATTATCAAAGGGCGATTCTACATGGCCCAGTGTGGATTAAAGACTGTTGTTAGGTCGTGGGCGCAAGTCAGTGAACCTGGTACACAGAACTTCGAGATGAGCATCTAGATCGACATGGAGATTGATGCTCGTCGTGTTAGAGTGCCAGGCTTCAAGGAATTCTCGGCCTGTTTGCTTTTCGCCATGGCAACAACTTCAGTTCCTTCCCAATTGAAGCGATGGTCGCATTCAAGGGCGTGAGGAAACACGAGTGACAAAGGGTCACGTCGGCGGATGGCTAGTTTATGTTCGTTTATACGCGTCCCAAGTCGTCGGCCTGTATGACCAACATAGTCGCAAGAGCAGTTAGCACACGGAATTCGGTAGATGACATTGGTTTGCTGCCCTTTGGCTAAAGGATCTTTCACAAGGGACAGTGTTGCGCGCAGAGAGGACGCCGGCTTGTGGGCAATGAAGATACCAAACTGGTTTAGTTATCGGGCGATCGCCTCGGAAATACCCTGCATGTAGGGTAGAGAGTAGAATTTCCGTTGCTCGGGTCCCTCATTAGAACTAACGTGCGAAATTGAACAATTTCATCGGAGTCTGAATAGCGTCTTCCCAGCTCTCCAGTTTACTCGCGAAGAGGCGACAGGAGGCATTCTACCGTTTCTAGACGTTAGTATGCAAACGCTCAGTGATGGCGACCTTGCAACGAGCGTCTACCGAAAAGACTCCAGTGCTGACGTCATTCTTAATTACGAAAGCAACCATCCTGCGGCTCATCAAAGGAGCTGTGTCCGAATCCTTTTCCACCGGACCTATCATTACTGCAGCAGCGATGATCTACTTAGGAAAGAACTCGCTTTCCTGTATCGGTTATTCCGACTCAACGGATACCCGGTCAGATTTGTAAAAAATTGTCTCAAGCATCAGAGACAACCACAAGGCTTTGGCTCTAATGAGGGACCAGAACTTCGAAAATTCTACTCCCTACCCTACATGCAGGGTATTTCCGAAGCGATCGCCCGACAAGAGGCCGACGACTTGGAACGCGCATAAACGAGCATAAACTAGCCATCCGCCGATGTGACCCTTTGTCACTCGTGTTTGCGCACGCCCTTGAATGCGACCATCGCTTCAATTGGGAAGGAACTGAAGTTGTTGCCACGGCGAACACCAAACAGGCCCGAGAATTCCTCGAAGCCTGGCACTCTAACACGACAATCATCAATCGCCATGTCGATCTAGATGCTCATCACGAAGGTCTGTGTGCCAGGTCCACTGACTTGCGCCCACAACCTAACGACAGCCTCTAATCCACACTGGGCTATGTAGAATCGCACTATTTCGTCACCCCATTACACCTCTCGACACAGCGAACCGCAACTGCAATCCCTAACACCTCAACGTTGGGCTCACTGACCTCTGTCCTCATGCCGGGTCGGCGACCATTAAGTCCACTGTCCATAGTTCCGTTGAATCGTCATCCCCCAACCCTCCAACAGAGGGAGTCGCACCTGTTCCCCCTTCCCTTCCCCGCCACGGATCCCAGCCTAATTATCTGTCCACTCCCATTCAAACATTAGTTGCTTGCCTGTCAATGGCTGCCCTGTCACGTCAAAAAATTTATTCTGACTAGTTCACATTCACCACTGTTAATTTCGTCTAACGACGGATTGGTGTCACCAGCTCGAAAATTCACGAGTACAACTCGATTTTTTCAGACGAGCCTTCTATCTTCATCATATTATCTCGGAAAGCACACTACCTCAGCTATTCAATATGTGTTTATATTTGGAGGGTTAGAGGCAAAGCCCTTGATGACCCTTTTTATGTACAGAACTTTGGCAGATTCGTAATCAAAAATAAAGTTTCAGGCAGTTACAATGTGATCGGGTCACATTTCAATCGTAATCATAAGGTAGTGCATAAGGTCACTGTAAATTAGTGCGGAGGGACTGTGTATGACAGTTTTTTTGTACAAAACTGGCTATGCGTAGTCATGCCGTAAAAGCCGATTTCTGTCGAAAACTAGGCGGGTAAGTTTTCTTTTGAACATGCAACTTGTGTCGGCAGTCAACATCTTGTTTGGAAGCGAGTTCCACGGTCTGACAGCCCACTGGCTGAACGAAAATTTCCGACGGTCTAACCGCGTGCGCTCATTCCTGACTTTGTAGGCATGGCCGCGTAGTTGGTTTGTACGGGCAAACTCAAAGAAGTCCTCCGCTCTTAATGAGCAACCCTGGCGCGGACAGTCCAGGAACGTCCAAAGTAGTCTACAGTTTATTTGTCTATAAGAGAGAGGGAATAAGCCAAGAAAATTCTGCCTCTCCTGATAAGACAACTGCTTTAGACCATCGATCACCTTTGTCGCTCTGCATTGCACCTGTTCGAGTAAGTCGATATCCTTCCTCATCCATGGTGAAGCAGCTGCCATTCCATACTCCAGATGAGGTCTTGCAGAGACATCAGAGAGACTTTCGAAGAGTTCGGGAGGAAATATTTTAAATGCCCTTCTGATCCAGTGCAGTGTACAAGTTGCCTTCTGTACCATCTTTCTACAGTGTTCTGATGGCGATAGATTTGTGGTCGTCCATATACCCAGATCTCTGTGTCTTTCCACAGTTTCTAAAGCCGTCCTGTCAGTATAATATTGGTGTTTGGGAGAGGCATTGCGGCCGGTGTTCAGGAGCAAGACCACTCATTCGGACAGGTTAAACTTCAAAAGCCATCTGTTCGACCAAGCACACAGTTTGTTGATGTTCGACTGCAACTTCTCTGCGTAATCATCGCATTTGACTTCGCTCCATATTTTTATGTCATCCGAGAACATGAGAGCCTCACAATCTAGTTCGTTGATACGGCCATTATCATAAATAAGGAAGAGTACCGGGCCTAAGACAGAACCCTGTGGGACACCACTTTCCACCTTTGCCCACTTCGAGACAGAGTTACCAACGACGACACTTTATACTCTGGAGGACAGAAAACTCCTGATCCATTTAAACATTCTTCCTTGAACCCCTACATCCCAGATCTTCTGTAAACAAGCATTGCGGGACACTGTGAAAGGCCTTCTTGAAGTCAAAAATAAGACATCCACTGGAAAACCCTTATCGGTAGCTCGTGTCCATTTCTCCTGCGAATAAAGAATACTCGTTAAGCAGGAGCGCCCTGAACGAAAGCCATGTTGGGCATCACACAATATTTTGTTCTTTTCCAGGTATTTTACTAAGTGTCTTTTGATAGTCCGTTCCAGTATTTTACACGCGACGCAAGTATGACTGAAGGGACGATAATTTCTGCAGTCAAGTCTTGTGCCTCCTTTATGGATCGGAGTAATGAGTGCGCAATTCCATTCTTCCGGCAGCTCGCCGTGTTCAAATGGCTTCTGAAATATTGCGGATAAGGGTTTGCACAGGTCATTTGTAGGTTCACGAAGTGCTAGTGCGGG